GCACTGCTCTTAATACGTATTCAATTTCGGAACAAGAAGTCTAGAACCAAGCCCATATGAAAGTTGCATTTGAGTTCCAAATTTAATTTTTTTTTTTTTTGGGCTCTTGTAATATTGTATATTTTATATTCCGTATATAGAATAGATATACTAATATTTGAAGCAGTGCACGTAGAACAAAATCAAATAACCAAGTTTGGAATTTTTTTTTGTGAACTTTAATTTGAATCGTTGTCGTTCAACTCCCAAAAAAGTTATTTACCCATTTTTATATGAAACCATATTTCAGACCGAGTAAATCTTATTATGATTACTAATTAACGTTAACCATCGGACTTTGAATATTAATCGTCACTGCTCATGATGTTAACGAATGTTGAGAAAATGATATAGACCCCTAAACATATTATTTGACTTGTTAAAAAAATGTGTTGGTAGATGAAATGATAATTTGGAATAATGAGTTTGCAGAAAGCTTTTTTGGGGAGAGGAAACATATGTAACATTCGGATAACTTAATATTCATAAATATAATACAAAAAAACATCTTTCTAGAAAGACCATTTTTAAAGATCATTTTTTTTATTAAATGATTCGAATCGTTTCATGAACAAAAAGCTAGAAAAAAAAAATTTTTTTTTTTTAAATTTAAATGATAATTTATAAATGATTATTTTTTGCAAATTATATGTTTAAATATAATATATATATATGTGAAATGCTAGATTATAATTAAATATTTAATTAATTAATGATATATAAGTTATATTGTATATATATATGAATGAGTGAAAAAATTGTACAAGAAATTGTTAAAAAAAAACATTTAAAATTTCATGTCTATAGATGTTTCACAAATCTAAATAATAATATATAAAAATAAATAATAATAATAATGATAATGATAATAATAGGGTATATAAAAAATAATACATAAAAAAAATATATAATATATAAAGTTGTATCTACATGTGTAATAAAAATATATATAATAATGCAAAATACAGAATTGGATAATAATATAATAAGAATTTTATGAATAAAAAAAAAAACACATTGGATATATATGAATATAAAGGATATGTATATAATAATTTTAACATATTTTTATAAAATGTTTATGTATATATATTTATAATAACGTGATATAGCCTTCTTTAATTTTCCTTTAGAGACAATCATATTGTTCATAATCATCACCACCGATAGAAGTGACTTCAAGATAACCGACGGGATTACCGAATTTGAAACGACCGCAAAGACCGCCGCTCGATCTTCGAGATAGGACATTTATTGCATTAGCGTTAGACATGCTTTGTTGATCGTTATTAGAAGAATAGTCGGTATAGTGGTTTATGTCTTCTTTCTTCCTCAGACGTTGTGGGATCTTGTTGAAAATTCGGGGATGAGTCTCATTGGAGGAAGATATTCGACCAAAGACATCACTTCCCTCAACAACAAACCCATTATTGATATTATTGTCAATAGAGGGATTATTGTCATTCGTATCCATAAAGACATACCTTTGCTGAGAATTATGGACATTTTGTAATGCCACATTCCTCATTGTTTCCGTCATCATTGTCGTTCCGTTTTCACTTTCATGTTCGATGGAGTCCAAAGCCATAGGATTTGATCGTGCGTGAGGTTTAAACGTGTTTGGAGAGGATGTGTAATTGATAGGAGATGATGTAGTCGTAGGTGTTTGTCGTCTTTGTCGTTGTTGCATTGGCTGCGAAGTGAAATAATCTGTAGGTGATGCTGAAGTACTTGGTGGTAATGATGGCGTTGTTGTCGTCGAAGTTGCTAAAGATCCTGTTACAGTCATCTGATTATAAGAATTATTGTTAAATCCAACTATGCCAGGTTGTGCTCCAAAACTCATTCCAATTTCCCAGAATTGATCTGATGATGACATATCAGTCGCTACAGTTGGTGACATAACGGTCGGTGGTTGCATTTGCATGGTAGTGAATTGGTCAAATAATTGATTATTACCAAGATTTATTGGAATATATTGTGTTCCAGTTCCATCTGTTTGTGACGAATATGTGAAATTTTGTGTTTGTTGCATATTAGTTGGAGATGATGGTCCTCTTTTAGTGTTGGAATTTACAGAGTTTGCAGATGTAGGCGATTGTGTATACCCAACAAAGGGTGTAATCATTGAGTTGGTTCTATCTACCGTTGGTGTAGATGGTTCACCATATGACTGATTCGCGATAGTAGGTGATATCTTTATAATATTTGCGGACGATGATGACGAAACATTTTCGTTATTGAATTTTTCTTGATATTTCATTAAAATATTATCCAATGCTTTAATTGTTTGTTTGGCTAATTCTGTCATTATATTATTTTGTTGATAAAATTGGAAAATTTTGATCGTTTTTATAATGTTTCTGTATGATGATTCAGCTAAAACTTGTTGTGAAGACGCAACATTGATCTCGTGAACTTTTGCTGCTTTTGCTAAGCAATGAAACATGGTTGGAAATGTTATGCATACATTAATATTATTTAATGCTTCAACTAAAAATTTAAAATGATCACTGTGTGTAAGTAATTTATTGTTAAACTGTAAATGACAAATAAAATGTATATAATAATAAATTTTACCTCCTATATGCGTTATAATTTTTGCTGCTGCGGTACATATTTGTAAAGATTTACAATATGTTTTGGACATTCGTGAGTTAGATTGCCTAACGTTGTTATTTGCTGCTATGTAAGGATAGTGAAGTATTAAAAAGAGTGTCTGATGGTGCATGTGA